GCTGTCAAGAACATCACAAATGAATAGCTTCTTTCTGACGGACCATGGGAGTGTGCTAAGGTAAATGTTTAGCATGGAGGTAAGAAAGGCTTACTTCATACCTCCTTGATGTCCAGAAAGTTTCATGAGTAGAAGAAATAACTTATTTTCAAATAAATTGTTTTTAAAATTCACCCGGTTTCATTTTTAATTATGATGCATTTTATAACTAAGTTACTCTAAATTTCTATCGCATTTAAGTGCAGATCGATTAAATTGTGATATAATTTATTGATAAAATCTATATTAATTGGTGCACCTTTCATTCCTTCTGTACAACAATAGCATTATTTATAGCTCACTTACATTTTATGTTTTCTGATTTTTTTTTTTTTCCAGTAAATTAAAAATCTTTAAAACTTTCATCACTTTCTATATTTTTCATGTGCATACAAATAATAATTATTTTTAAACAGTTTTATAATTTCTTTTAAAATTTTTTACCTTCTTTTACTTTTACGATGTTTAGCATAATATTCGAATAATTGTTATAAAAATGTGTTTTATGATTTCTATCAAATTTAATCAACGTGATCAATGATGTGACTTTTAAAACTGCTTTTTAAAGAAACTCATAGTTAAAAATGAAGTATATTTCAAAGTTTCAAATTTTTAGGCTTCTTTTATGCTCAAATTTACATCTTTTTATAAAGGAATTGCACTTTTTAGAAAAGTTTTGTCTTTTTCTATCAGTAGTTAATGCCTGAAAAAATATATAGACAAGCATTTTTAAACAATTTTAAATATTCACTACCATAAAATTTTGTGACTAAATGTCTTAAAATTCAGGGTGAAGGGAAATTTTTTTTTAAAACTATATGTGAATTTCTGATTTGAAAAAGGACAGGTATTAAATGTGACTTATTTACAAAGAACAGAAATATAACATTTATAATTTGAAAACATCAGATTGCCGCTCTCTGCTTCAAATAAAAGTTTACTACTGAAAATTAAAAAATAATACTAATAAAATTCAAATTTTCTATGACGACCCAACGATACTTGGATAATGTACTGCGGCCAGTGGCAATCCCTTACCTTCAGAAACTGCCTAATGCAATTTTTCAGCAGGATAACACCCGACCACACAGTGCTCACATCTGCCAACATGCTCTGCAAGGTATACAGGTGCTTTCCTGGCCACCGTACTCTCCTGACCTGTCACCAATCGAACATGTGTGGGATGTGATTGGATGCCGTTGGCACACTCTTCCCCTGCCTCGTTCAGAAGACGAATTATGGCAAATGGTTGAAAGGGAATAGAAAGCCATTCCTCAGGATACCATCCGCACTCTTATTGACTCTATGCCTAAATGTGTTTCTTCGTGCATCGCTGTCCGCGGTGGTCCTACATCCTAATGAGCCGACGTCGTTCTCGCTCTGTATTCTGACTATCATTTTGAAATAAAGATCACTTATTGCTGCTTTACTGTCTCTTTTTTCCAAATTTCATCTCTTTCTTGCCACTCCTTCTTGGTGTTGCATTTTCAATGTCGAGCAGCGTATCTAACACTTCCATGCACTTATTGTTTCATTTCTCTTATATTCCATTAATTATAAGAACAAAATACTTATACTAATAGATTTCTTTCTAAAAATGTTCCAAGACACGGCTGAGAATTCTTCCCCCATGCAGATTTTAGAATTTTGTTGCATTCCAAATTTTAATAAATTATTTAAAGAAAGCTATTAATTTTCACAAATTCTTTCGGCATATTCATTTACTCTTTAATTTCTTGAGTAGAATATTTTTAATTTCTACATTTAAGAATTTTTTTATACATAAGTTTGCATTTATAGTAAATAGTCAGTCACACATACAAATTCCAAAACTCAGACATGCTGAAAACAATGTTGTCATTTTATAAAAAAAGAAAGAAAATACTATTAAAAACTCTACTTGAAATACGAAGGGGAAAAAGATATATAATGTCAAAATTAACTTTTTGACATTATATATCTTTTTCTTGTAGTTGACAAATCAGAAGCTGTAACCAACTTTTAATACGAAGATTAAATAGTCAATTATATATTATATGATTTATTATGAATTTTTTCTATTTTAACTAAACATTTGGGGATGTAATCTGCGACTGCGTATTGGGCTTTATCAAAAGGCAAACAGATGTAAAACTATTTATCTTCATTCAACAAGCTTGCAGAATAATGTATATTTGCTGTCTGACACTAAGGCCTCACTCAGAGGGCTCTTCTCTAAAGTGCACTATTCAAACAGATTTCACACTCTATTAAGAGCTTTGTCCAAATGACAGCCTCCTGCGAAAACGCAGGGCGAAGGAAGATCTCGTATAGCGTCTCCACGCGTCTTAAGCATTTATCAGAAAATCTTGCCTTAATACACATCTTAATCATTTTTCAAAAAATTTCAGTTCTGTGTATTGTCTTAAGCATTTTTAGAGCAATCTCTGAAAATGTTTAAAGACATCTTAAGCAGTTAAAGGGTTAATTAATATATGATGCATTACTACCAAAAATTTACAAAATAATTATTTTTAATACTTTTTTAGTACTTACATCACATACATTTATTTGTACATAAAATTCCTTTAATAATTATACAAGCTGATGTACCAAAATAAATTTTACATTTCCATATTAAAATGTATAAAAGACTTTATTTCCTAAAATTTGAAATATACACAGAAGTGGAAAACTGAATTATTAATTCTTGCAGAAGATTCAGATAAAATATACAGGGTGTTTGAAAAAAGTGTACTCGCACTTTAACTGTCGCTAACATACTTTCTTTTTTTAACTGCAGGTGTAATTAAATTATCACAGCATGTCAAGAAATCAACTTAGCTTGGAAGAGAGGAAGTTTGTCCTGAAATGTTATAGGAAGACCGAAAACACCATTGAAGTGCAAAGACGATACAGATGGCAATTCGCAAAAATCCCACCAATGCGGCGGACCATTGCTTGCATGAGAGACAAATCTGAAGCAGATGAAACCATACAGAATGTCAACAAGAAAAGTTCTGAATGACCACGACATCTGCGAGCCCTGGAAAAGAAGAGCAGGTGCAGGAAACACTCCTCTGATCACCAAAGAAATCTCTTCGACAAATTACTCGGGAAACCCACATCTCAAAAGATAGCGTGTACCACATAATGAAGCTTCTGCACTGGAAATGCTACATTCCAACACTAACAAAGACAATCCTGACCAGAGAGTTCAATTCTGTGAATGGTACCTGGCAAAATGTGCAGACGATGCAGGGTTTCCACACAAAATTGTGTGGATCGATGAGGCATTCTTTAAATTACGGAACTGTTACTGGTGAGAGTTACCTCAACTTGCTTCAGAAGTTTTTCAGTCTACAAATTTCAGAGATGTTTGGTGATGATGACGAGATTTACTTTCAGCAAGATGGAGCACCTCCCCACTACCATCGCAATGCAAGACCTCACCTCGATGCAGCTTTTCCAGACACATGGATTAGACGAAGGGGTACCATTGAATACCCTGCACGTTCCGCAGACCTCGTGCCCATGGACTTCTTTTTGTGGGGATATCTTAAAGATAAAGTTTATCGCACTAAACCAAGAACAACTGATGCACTGAAACTGGAAACTGAAAGACAATGTCACGATATTCCTAATGACCTGTTTTGTGACATTTGCGAATACCTTTGGTGTGCATTATCAGCATTGTCCGGACAATGACGGTCATCAATTTGAGCATTCATGAACATGATTCCTCAATTATATTTGTATGGAATGGCTCCATTTCACTCTACATTTTTTTAGGCACCCTGTATATATGTATATACATACAGAAAATAAATATTATTAAATAAAGAGAGAGGGTTAATGAAGAATATTATTTGAACATTTTGCAATATTTGACGAAAACAATATGGAGCAAACGATCTCACTGAATTTTAGGAAGATAATTTGTAAATCCACGGACTTTTTTTTTTACTGTTTTGTGAATTTTTGACCCAAAATAATACCGATACAACTTAACAAGCTCCTTATTTACCTTATACAGTACTGTGAAATTTTTTCTTACTTTTATGCTTAAAATTGGCATTTTGCATCAACATTGAGTCTATTGATGCGATATAAAAAAAATTTATAGCGAATCCTGAAAACTTCTTTTGAGGATTGGGGAAAACATTATTGCAGTCAGAGGGCATTACTTGGAGGGAGATGATATAAATATTGACTAATAAATTAAAATCTTGCGTTTTAAGAAATCATTCATGATACTTTACGATCACGGTAGTAATCAGTGTTTAAATTATCTCTCATCAAATCATTATCAAATGATTTGATGATTTCATAAATCATTTGATATCAGCCAAAGTTTTCAGTTCATCCTCACTGCAAAGGTGAATACTATGTGTTTAATTACATATTCTGAATTTTGTGTTCTTTAGTTAGTTTCATTTTTTAATTTTGTTTCCCTTTTTTACTGAGAAAATTCCGAGAAAGAAAGGACAGATTTTATTTATCAAAGTACTTTTAAGTAAGAATAAAATAAAATTAATAATTAATGTACATAGTATTTGTATGGATAAACTTAGCTGTGTACCATGTATTGAAGCAGAATAATATTAAATACAAATATTAATTAATTAAACATTGCTTGAATCTTCATATAAAAATCTACAAATGTCTGTAGTAGATTAAGACAATTCAGATTAAATGAAATTTAATAAGATCAATAAAATGTAAAAAAAATACAATTTAGGTGAAATAAAATTTCATAAGAAAAATTATTCTGAAAATTATTAGTGGCGCAAAAATGAAATCTGCACCAAGTTTCATTAACTTAATAAATTTCATTTACAGCTCGGAAACATTTCTGTTAAATAGGCTAAAAATTAAAAACTGGGAGATTTAGTGATCTGCTGGGAGGATTTAAAAAAAAAAAAAAAAAAAAAAAAGAGCATTGACAGATATGATAATGTCAATTAACTCTGTTCTCTCACATTTAGTAGCTGTCCACAGAAGTTATGTCCAATGGTTGAAAATTATTGCCTCTGATACTGCTCAACTACAAAAACACAAAATAAGACTCGATGGTAAAAGCTACAAATTTTCTTAGCCATGATTTGCAGATATTACAACTAAAATGACAGCAAATTAAACTTTGAGACTTTGTGTAAATTTATAACAATAACTGCTTATCTATTTTGATAAATGAAAATGTGATAACAATAACAAAGATTACACAAATCTGAAACACACTTAAAGTTGGAATGGAAAAAAACTAACTATGTTCTTAATACTTATCAGGCTCCATTAAACCTTTTAGTATCTCTGTCACTACTCAGAAAGATGGCTAATCCACAGAAGTTCGAATCAGTCCATGGTTAAGATTGTATAGTAGGCAGTTCATTGTATCACAAAATTAAGTGTATAAGTTCATTGTATCACAGCCCAGTTTTAAACTAGACTGCTTACTATACAATTTACATAAACTGGTCTGAGCAAGTATCATGATGAGGTAACGGGTAACAAGTAACATGATGACGGGGTAAACATTAACATAATGAGCCAAAAGTCCTCTCAAGTAGTTTGGTAGTAGGAGATCCTCAGATCCATCCCTGGAGGGCTCTTCATCAGAATTAATACAATTGGACTATACCTGTTTGACCAATGGTAAAATTCTGATGCCCCCTTTCTACCTGTATCTGTTAGTAAATTTAAATCATAAATGTTACTATGGTTTTGATATAAGTTTATGATTAAATTTTTAGAACATGCTCACTAGTTCAATGAAACCATTATGGATTTTAATACCTTAATCCTTATGCATGACATACTCACACACACACAAAAGGGGGGGGAAGAAAAGGAAAAAAAATCAGCAGGAAAAAACATTCTCTTTTTTTATATTTTCAATTGATAATTGGAAAATACAAAAATTTACATAGCTCTGATAATTTTTGAAACCCTGAAATTTGCACACTATTGCAATAAAGTTTTCATGTTGCATTTACTCTATGGAGTGCACAGTTAATAGAAATATAATAAAGTTTTCATCATGTTGCATTTACTCTATGGAGTGGACAGTTAACAGAAATATACATCGTGTTGTCTTACAGTGTTGAAAACAGTTAAACAGTACAGAATAAATATTTCACTTGAGGAAAAGACAATCATTTCCTTTGAAATCCATTAGGCTGAACATTATGAAATGAAATTAAAGCTAATATAATGATGCCTATTTTCAATTTGCCAAAACTGACACATGTTTGGATTTAAAGTATGTTAATAAACATTCAGGGAATACATAACCATCTTAACTTACATATATGTAAGCTCAACTTCTAAAATATACAAAATGTTTCCTTTTTAGTTGCCAGCAACTAATTCCCACTCTGTCACGGAGATCTTCATGCATTCTGATACATCATGGAGAGCAAAGAACCATGCTTACCCAAAACCATGGTCTTTTCATTAGTAAAACAGAAATACATCAACTGTACAAATTCATTCCACAGGTCTTTGTGAAGTAGCAAATGATGTTAATAGATCTTTCGCATTAAAACGTACAAATTGTATAATATTATTAATATCATATGATGCAAGAGGTTTTGAGGGTGGGTCCTTTATCCTGAAAATAAATAACAAAAGAAAAAAATTAATATGTGTGTGATGATTTACAAGTCGATGGCATGAAACATTAAACAACATTTATGATTAGTTAAATACATTTTATTTATCAACAAAACAATTAAGAAGCTCATTCTTAAATTTCACAGTGCAGTGTGCCCATTTTTGATCATGTTTGTGTCTTCTACATCTTCATAAATAATTTGATTTGACAAAAGTGAGAGAGAGAATGTGATGTGTCTAAGATGAAAGTCTGGTTCAGAATGATTTAATTTCAGTTAAGATTTCCCTTCATTGGTTGATTATAAGTTCTGGCTACCAAATTTGAAGTTATTATTGGCTGAAGTGGTATATAAGTACCTGCTTCATTAGCATTATGTAAGAATCATATAATAGCAATTAATTTTGAAATAAAGCAATTTACAGATATTTATTATGAGAAGTAACTATTTTTATGATGGAAATGGGACACGTGCATTCTAATAACAAAATATTTGCTTTAACTAAGATTATGCACAAATAGTTAATTTAATGACTTAAAAAAAAATTAAAAGCAAACTCCAGCTTGAAAACACAGTTTCTTGAAAATCCTGTCTACATTTAAATACTCTACAACTTTGTTGAGATATTTCAGATATAAAAGATATTTCAGTGAAATGATGCTTGTACTGCACGTCAATCTTTAAAGTTTTACCTGGTGACATTGCATGTTTGTTTGCCCTTATCAGTGTGACACCTACTGCATATCATTTCACACAAATGAATTTTTTTATGCCCTGATACCAAAATAGCTGTCTTGCACTGATCTGAAATTCCATTGTGATTGCTGATATGTTTAAGTTCATCCACAGTTCTTGGCTCTTCTATTTACATTTTGACATGGCCATATCCCTACAGCATTAATTTCCACAGAGTCTGGTCCGGTGACCTTGCAGAACATAATATGGGTTTTCTACAGCCAATAAACTTCCTTTATGAAGGATTTGGAAGCAGGTGCTTCCAAATCCTTCATCAAGGAAGTTTATGATTACAAAAGCAAGAAAGGGAGAGGCCCTGTTTGCAACATGTTTTTGTCTCCAGAAATTTTGCCTGATGCCTTTTAAATCTAGAGCCTTCCTTGATATAATTACTGAAGTTCTGACATATTAGAATGCAAAATTCCAGCCTAGCATACTGCTGTGCTTCCTTCTGAATCACAAACGGCTCACAGTCATGCGATCTTTTTAACACATAGTTTTGCCAGGTAAAGCTCAAAAGACTGCTCAAACTTCATTTCAGTGAAATACCTCTCTTTAAATTTAAATGTGGGAAGGACATCTTCCCACATTAATAATTACAGTGGTCATACATTAATTATAGTCCCACATAAATTATAATGATTTTAAATGTGGGAAAGACCTACAATTCAACTATCTCAAGAAATCAAGTAAACTATCTCAAGAAATATATGCTAAAGTACATTCAAAGTGTTCTAGCAATTCATGCTTAAAGTGACATAATAAATATTCTACATTTGAAAAATTACACTTGCTTTTCTATCAAGAATCTTGCTTATCTATCACATCTTACATATCTATCAAGAAAGTTAAGGGAGTCTTCTATAAGAGTTCTAGAAAATCAATTAGAACAGCTGAAAGAGAACTTAGTTTTCCAAAAAGTGGACATTTTCAAACAGTTACAACAGGAGCCCATGCTAAAATTTATTGAATATATGCTAGCAACTGTGAATTCTGTGTTACGAATCTTCATAAAATTTTTTCTTAAACTGCAAATTGCCTTTTAGGATACTACTCCATTTTTGAGTTACAAATTCAAATAATAATAAAAACATTAGAACACATTAATGTTGCAGCTGAACCTTCAGAACCACATACGTTTTCAGGTGATTCTGATCTTTTGCAGAAAAAGTCATCTTCAAAAAACATGATTACTGATGGTGTTCAATACTAAATGTACAATATACACTAATTTGACTATTATACACAAATTTGGCCCAAAGTTTATGATTTCATATATATTGGTCAAGTTTAGATATGGTCATCATGAAAGGTTCCAAAATAATTTAATTTTTACTCAAACTATTCATTAAACTATATTTTTAACAGTTCTTTACAATGCATGTATTACCTGTGTAAATGCTTTACTAGCATTATTTAGGCATATTTTAGCATTATTCAGGCATGAAGCAATTACTCAAGAATTAATTTTAGAATTAATTATTGTTACAAGAATTACTTAAAAAAATAAATACATCAAACTCATTTAAAATATTTCTCAAATGCATATTATCAACTGAGCTGGAAGTTCAAAAACTGGGAGAAGGGGAAAAAAACCATTTAACATTGCTCACAGCAGATGTCCGTCTTCCCCTCACTGCAATTTAGCGAGAGTAAAATTTTCTTAAATAATTGCATATTTATTATCTTTACTTTACAATATTACCTTTTAATAGCTTTAATAGCTAACAATAAGTGAGCTTCTTTAATTAACTTACCATTTTAAATGGCATTAAATACCTAATAAAATTATATTTATGGGTCCTGAACATAAACTTTTATGTTTAAAATATTTTCTAAGTTTAATAAACCATCCAAATGAGCAATAGAGGGAAAAGATGATGTATAAAATAACAGATGTTCATGTAATTTTATAAATCAATTTAAGCATGGACAAATTAAAAAGTATTGAAATTTGTTGACTTCTAAAAAGTTGCAAAATAACCACTTTTTGCTGATGAATATATTTATAAGAATAATGATCAATGACAGAATCATGATCGTAACACTTTCCTGCCATAACATTAATTTTTTTAATTGTATGTACTTTTTAAATTGCTTATAAAATTATTATTGTTTGTGTCAGAATAAATTTATCTAACATGAAATTATAATTCTGTAGTTAAATGATTCTAAACAGGCATTTCCATGCCAAATTTCGACCAACATGATATTATCTAAATACTTAAAACTTTCAATAAAAAATAAATAAAATTTATTCATTAAAAATGTGTGCTGAAATAAAATTAAAAATAATTAATTACTCTTTGTCAGAGGATTCCTGTCTTTGAGAAGGGTGATTTCGAACATCCCAGATTTTCAATGTTCCATCAAAACCACCAGATGCCAACATAGAACTGTTTCCATTGAAGCTCAAGCTTAATACTCGACTTGTATGACCATGAAGCTCTTTAATTTTCATACCAGTACCCAGATCCCAGATAATAATACAGCCATCATCATCTAAAAGAGGAAATTACATTTAAAAATATTTCATTTTCATGCAGTTCTTAATAGCATAATAGATTTTGTTAGATTTATCTAGACAACAAACATAAAAATGGTTTTTCAAGCTCTTGAACAAAGAAGCTACGCACAAATTTACATATATAATTTATCAAAATAAAACATATACCTTAATCATTAAACCAATAACAGAGGGTAGACAAATTGTATGTTATGTAAACACACAATATGATGTACCAAACTGTGATTTTTTATCATCCACTCTATATTCTCCAGCACCATAACCATTATGATTTTCCAATTAATGTTAGCCTTCTTTCTTTAAAAGTGTCTCTTTTAATAAGTAAAACATTGCATTAACATTAAATTAAAGTTAACATATTTTAGGTCACTACTTAAACTCTGTGTATGAATTTGTATTAATATTCCATTTTCTTAAATTAAAAATAATAATAATAATTTTACCTATTTTTAGAATACAGAAGTATTATTATATCAAGATTATTAGTCATAGAATTCTGACCCAAAGTTACTGATAGTATGTGCTTAAAGGTGTTGATTATATGATTGTAGGCAGATCATGTACATGCCTTTAAGGTTGCAGCAGCAATCATTGCTGAGCACCATTATACCTCTGGGTACTGCTGGATAGCACTGGTATTTTTATACATTAAAATTTATTTTAAAATAATTTGAACTTATTTTTAAACAACAGAAATAAGGAGATGTTGATCTTTTTCCATGTTACTGAAACTCTTCATCTATTAACTAGAAATAAAAACTTTTCAATTCTGATAATAAGAGTACTACATTTTTTGCACAATTTTGGTATGCCACATAAAATTAAAACCAAATCAGTTAACTGCATAAAGAATCAAAGCGACATTTCCCAATCATCAGATATGAAAAATCAATAATAATAATAATAATAATAATAATAATAAGGAGAATTCAGTTCATAGTTCTGCAATCTACCCCAAACAACACACAGAATTTCAGAATCAATAATATTGGGAAAGTGTAAAAGATGCAAACTGGAATTAGACGACATGACCTACATAACAGATAGCATTGAATGACTGAAATCTTTTACTAACAAACAGTGAAGAAATAGAGCATAAAACGTCACTGAATTTGTCAAAGCAACTTATGCATTTAACAGTTCAAAATGGCAAGCCGTAAGAAAACATATCATCAGACACTGGTTACTATAAAAACAATATACAGGCACCATTTGCCATAGCACTGACAAAACATATGGAAAGTATGTAACTGATGATAACAGCATATATCCCTGTTGGTTTCAAACATTCCATGATGGTGTACAAATCAGTCCTCTTTTGGACATCCACCAACTATTTCTGATGAAATTCTGAATTAAGTCATAATAAAGGAACCCTTTACAACCATTTACAAATAAACAGAAAAGTTGTCAAAACACAAAATATATGTTGAAAGAAGAATGCTGGCATGTGGGTTCATCATGAAGTTTGAACACTGATTTCTACACAAGATTTATGTGAAGCAAACAGCAAGTCAACGAACTTGCTTCTTTGCTTTCTTGCCAGAGAAATGAACCATTTTTGAAAAAAAAAAAAAAATAGATTAGAAATGGATATTGTATCATAATATTAAGTACTGCAGGAACATGTGTCAAATATCAGAACTATGTAATCAACTTCTAAAAGAAGATTGTGTCCCCAAAATATCTTGTTAAGTGTTTAATGAGATGTTCAGAAAATAATTAAATGGGATGTAACCAATTATGAATGCTAACCTCATCTACCAACAGCTGGACAAACCTAACTAACAGAGCATCTAAGTAGGTGGCACTAGTCAATCAAAAATAAAAAAATGCATTATCTGTTATTATGACAATACCAAAGTTCAGCCTGCTTCAATTACTTAACAAAACATTCTTAACTTTGGTTGGGAAGTGTTACCTGACCCAGGATATTATCCTGAACTTACCATTTTAGTAATGTTTAGATGTGAATTTATCATCTCACACCTAAACATTACTTACCACATTTAACTCTCCAAATCTTTGATGATGTGAAGGATATCAAAACATCATCATATAATCTTTTTTCACTAAAAACAGAAAATTTTAATTACATGAAATAAATTTATCAGATAGATCAGAAAAGATCATGCATAACGAAGGCAATTTTATCTGCTTTAATTTTTTATATTATCTAATTTCTTTTTCCATTAAAAAATGAGAACTAATGCTCCTACCTAATACAAATTACAAAATAAAAATCTATAGCATCAATTCCAAAATATAGAATAATAGTATGTCATCTGGCATCCATATTTAATCAGAAAAAATAAGATTCCTGTCATTAAGAGAAAGAAAATGCTACACAAGTTTATTTGAAAGTAAGAATATTTGAACTCTGTACTTTCAGCACAGATAATTAATCATTTTTCACAAAACAAAAACAAAAATCAGATTCAAGTAACCTCAAAATCACAAGAGAAAGCACATTCATGCACTATTTCTTTAAAGTTCTTCAAGTGAAAAGGGTATATTTCAAAATCTATTTTATCAGTAAAAAACTGAAATGTTTTATAACTGGATCACATAAAAAAGTACATTAAATTAAAATGATTAAAAACAAAAATCACCAGTTTTGTTGCTTGTTATTTTAATTCTATTATTAATGACACAGATATTAGTTTCAACAACTTAAATTGATTTACTGTTATATCTATTATATTAACGTTACAATTTATTACCATTTTTTTCTATTAAGCAGTTAATTTTCCTTTCATAAAGGTCTTTGATAATTATTTAATTTTCTTTTTAATAATTTTTAAGAAACTAAAACAAAGAAGAAACAAAATTTTAAGAAACAAAAATGCCCGATGGCAATATGTTTAAAAGACCAATGACAATTATACTGTATATTGACAGTAGACAATATACAATGATTTACATAAAATAATATTCATATAACATAAATAAATAAAGTAAAGATCTTAATCAATAAAGTATGCACAAGAAGACATTCCAAACTTTAAACAAAATAATACACAATGTACTGAAAAATGCAATATACATTTAAAATGGACTTTCTTTTTCTTTAGTATATTGAAATTAAAGAATAAAGTTTCCAATATTCTACAGCATAGCAATATTTTACAAAATATAGATCATATATCAGTAAAGGGCTGTGAGACAATTTTTGGTGGCTCATAAATGCTACTATCTTTCTCTTCTGTTGTTACATATATTTTCTATGATTATTAATAATTACATATACAGTGTCTACAAAAGTGACTGACTGCTTTTGATTTAATATAAAAAAATTAATGCCTTAAGCTGAAATGATTTTCTTTGAAGTGTGCATTTATTCAATATCCTCAAACACAAAATATATTAATATTTTATCTTTAGAGGGGAAAATCTTATCACAAAAATGATTGGCACTTGTTATTCTGTCAAATGAAAATAATAATAATAATACAGTCAAAAGTCGTTAATCCGGACTCGTCGGGACTTCGGCGATTCCGGATTATCGATTTTTCCGGATTATAGATCATCAGTTTAAATCTCGTAAGATGGCATGCAGAAATTCTAAAATTAAAAGTATGAAACCGTAATTTATGAAATAAAGAACAATTATGATCTAAAGGGTATCAAAATTTGCAAAAAGAAAAAGCTTAATATTTATTTGTTTACTTTATTAAACATTTCTTTCAATGTAAGTTGTTTAAGTTTTGCTTTGTTTCATGTGATAATACTTTCTCTTTAATTTTATTAAACAGACATAATTTCTTGTTCAGTTACAAAGTTCCGCTGTTCAAGTCCTATAATTGCTGTGTGGAGAATACTGACTAATTTGTCAATCGAAATTTTTTCGTTTTCAATAACCTCTGTGTCACTTTCTTCACTATCGGAAGCGAATTATAATGACAAGGAATTTAATTTAAATCATATCAAAGACGGAGCACATCGAGATGAAATACTACATTTGATAAGGAATTATAAGCCAAATAAAATAAAAACATCTGTCCTGAAGATAAGGATAGTGCTGACAGATCAACTTCCAATTCATTACGCGCACGCCGCGGCGTTCCCCCCGCCAAGCAGCGTGAAATTGATAAACAGATTTCGGATTTCAAAACATACTTTCGCTTTAGATCCTTTATACATATTAACAAATATATATCGGAATTCTATTTGATATAATCGAAAGTTTAAACTTACTTTTATAAAATTGCTCTTACAGTCTGCAAAAAATAATAAGCCGGATCCAATTCGAAAATTAAGGAACAATGCAATCATCAACATTAACTGAAATAGATAATTATTTAGCTTATACGTCCATTATACATAAAACGCGCACGCGAAAACGTATTCTGCACTTGCGCACACTCATATGTGCAGTCGTAAAAGGTCTTACGCGCACGCGTAAATGCCTATGCGCTTGTGTCAACGCGGCGCATGCGCAGAAAGTTTTTAGTTTCGAGGTCCGGATTATAGATCATTCCGAATTAAGGGTGTCTGAATTAACGACTTTTGACTGTAATAATAATTTCTCTGGAATGGCTGGCACTGGTTTTAATTAATTTGTCAGATACTCTCTAATCTAGACAGCATAGTTATTCAATTTTTTTATATGCTATATCCATTGATTATCTAAAAACAAGAACAATTTATTCTTTCAAACATCCACTGAAATAAAGACAAATTTTTTTCAATGCCTCTGAAAAAATTCATATAATTTTTTTTTCTAAAATTCTGTTAGATTATTGTTAGCTTTTAAGAACACAGCTTCATCTTTTTTAGTTCATGGATTCAACTAGATTTTTTTATTATTTCTAGCTAATTTTTTTGCCACTCGTTTAGTGTTACCAATTTCATTTAATAATTCTTTATTAAAAAAAATATTTTCTTTTCAACACTCCATTTTTTTGACAATGTCAAACATGGTCTACATGGGTCTGAGACACATATTCATACCAGTCTGTCTTAATAGAATCTC